GAGCAACCATATGAATGGAAACATCCATGGAATGAAGAAAGCAATAAGTGAGATGAAATTCTATTACTCATTACTCATGATGGATAAGAGTAGAGAACACATAGTGAACGAGAGGAAATAACCGAACTAGGTCTTTCCGACCTTCCGACCTATAGAAATCCCGGCAGGACAGGGCAACAGGGCAGCCCCCTGTCCTGCGACGGTCTCTGATTTGAATACAGTTGGTAGTGTATCAGTATAAAATTTCTTCTGTTACAATTTCTGCGCTTTTTGTTGGGTCGATATTTCAATGGATTTTTGCCACCACTCGACAACATTTTGGAAAAAAATGATAACTCCTTACTACTATTGTTGAGCGAATTTTGTAAAAGAGAGAATAGCATCAGTGAGAATTGCATTCCACTGGGAAATAGTTAACGCTAGATGGGCTGTTTTTAAAAAACGTTTGATGTAACATGAAGAGAATTGTGCCGTTCAGCATGGTATCAAAATCTGTTTCTAAAAGACAGAAGAAGCTGTTTTCTGTCGTGATAAGCCGATCTATCCATCTGGGAAGTGTCGTATTCCTCCGAGTAGAAATGCTTCAGATGCGCTCGAAATACTGTGAAAATTAGAGAGGCTGTTCAGAATTACCTCAACCTACTCTATATTATATTTGGTTAGTTGAGCTTGGACTATCGTACTGTGCCTAGGTGCAACAGTCCTGCTTGGACTTCTCTAAGTTCCATGGACTCTAAGAAGTAAATAACTTTGAAGAACTTTTAAAGTATTTTTGGTACAGAAAGTGGAATGTGACAGGTTCGACGTTTGCACAAGTTCTGCTTGTTTTTGTTCCACAGAGGAACATCTTGTGTTTCCGTTTAAATGCTCTCTTTTTCTCGGTTAAACGTTAATTTTTTGCGAAAGTAATAAAAGCTGGCGTTTAAACATAAACATTTTCTTTCTAATTTACGACACAATTTTTGTTTATGAACCATCGGTGTGAAAAAACAGAATAAGAAACTAGAGTGCCAACCGCCCTGCGGGAAAATTAGAAAGTTACGGAGTGGCACGTTAAACAGAGGAGATTAGAAGATCAAGAAAGTCATAACAGTTTGACTTTTTTTCAAGAAGAATGTACATTGCTATATCTGCTGATTCATTATCGTGTCATATATTCTACTATAGCTTCCATCATATCCAGCATTATAGTACACATTCACCATGAAGGATATCACGTGACGATTAATTAACTCATAGGAAAAACGATAGAGTTCTAGACTAGATGCCAACTACCCTTCGGGAAGGTCGGAAAGTTGACAGAGTGAAACGGTAAACAGACGAAATTACAACATCCAGAAAGTAAGATATGTCAGCTGATTCATTATCATCATACATTATGCTGTAGCTTTGATCATGTCACAATCTTTGACAAACCAGTTAGAACACTGCAGTCCTCTAGTAGTAAACATTTTAATGCATTCCATCCGTAGTAATGTTTCAGACAATAAATACATCAGACTATGTAGAAGTATAGACTGATAAATAGTACGTGACTACTTAATGAATCACTCCACACTTTCGTCTGAAGTGTCTATTACCAAATGGAGTACCGTCCAGCTGTTTCATCTACAACTCTTGCACTCTCGAATGATCTTTTTCCCAAATCTGTACGATTAGGGATAGCTGAGCACGAGTGGCTGACTTGAAGCAGAAAGTAGGTCTAGAAGAAAAAGCAAAGAAGAAAGTTCTTTCCTAGAAAGAAAAGATTTAAAAAACTTAAATGTCAAAAGATTACCATCAGCTATTTTCTGCGTGCAATGGAACAAGAATTCCTCCATGTTCAACTCAGCAAGATATAAGTCCACGCATGTGAAACAGATAAACTTCTCTTTGTCGATTTAATTTTGTGTTTAAATGAGAAAAAAAAGGGTTTTGGTAGACATACGTCTATACGGTAAAATGTATTGTGAAAGTACAGCTGCATTCAAGTACTAATTGAAAAACGAAGAAAAACATAAGAAGTTATTGATAAAAAATGGATTGTTGAATATTGAAGATATTATTCAACGGACAAAACATACGGCAAACTGAAACAATTGGTTACAAGACGATGTACTAGTTATCACACAGAGAATATATTACATTCGAGAAGATTGATGAGGTGTACGCGTGATTGCCATTTTTTTCTCAAATATATATGTTTACGGAAATTCCTGTCAAAGTTTTCTAGTTGTCGTTGTTGTTTCAAATGATGTATATGTTTAAAAAAATGAGTAAAAAAAAGCGAACATAGATGAGACGACGTTAACGTTAGACAAGGAAGATTGGAAAAAGTTATTCTTAAAGAAATGCATGAACGGGGTAAAAGAGTGATCTTATTACGCAGGTGAAAAAAAAATTGCTTTTAATAATGAATATTTCACGATTGAAATGGACTGTTAACATCTATTTTCAAAGCTCGACAGTATGCTGTCGAAAAGAAATATAAGCAGAGAGATACAAACATTTTCACACTGTTTTTTTGCAAATTTTTACCTCATATATATTGTTTAAGTAAACAAATAAACCATGTTTGAAAAGAAACATAGAATTTTATCCAATAATTTCTAAAAAATGATCGTATAAGTAGAACACCAACTAGACATTTTTATCAATTTTTTTCCTATTATTCTGATAGCCTGCTTCATACGAAAAGAACTGAAACAAGAAAAAATATGAATTGGATTGCGTATTTCACATATGTGTACAGTTTTCAATCTAATTGTCACAACGTATAATCGTGAAGTGATTACATAAAATGGATGGGAAGTCAGAGCTTAGCAATGCTGTAATATTATCCATTAGGCATTTAGTAGACTAACTTTTCTATATGTATAGGTAGTAAACATTAACTGAAATGCCAGGTGTGTCTCTTGCATGGTTTATTAGCAAAATTTGACAAGACTTTTATTTTTAATCGACATGTTTCTTGAACTAACAAAACAACAAATTGCTTTTGAATGTGGTGGCAGAATGATGATGGTCGTTGGTGAATATAACCGTTTGAACTTTGAAAAAAATACACATTCTAGTGGAAACTAACTAAGCGTGATGTCAGAAAGTTTCGTATTGAAAATTGGGATCTTGCTGTGAACTGAATAGTTATTTAAATGTGTTACTCATTTGCGGGACCAGTAATCTAAATAGATGAAAGAAAATAATATAGAAAAACATTTAGAGTTTGTAACAGTAAACAAAATAGATTTGAAACGAGTTTATCTAACTCTAACAGCCAATAATTACTAATTCATTTTCTTTTGAAACTTAATCAGGTATAAAAAGAAAAAGAAATTATTCCCAAATCATTCTCACTTTCAAGTTGCATGCCAATTGTGTCAACACCGTTCAATGCTTTTGATTGTTCTGGTGATAAATGTGACATTGATTGTAACATTTCATGAAACTCTTCGGGATCTAACATACGAAACCGTTTTAATCTATTATCAACAAATGATCCGCCATTTTTTAATTTTTTATTTAATCGATGTTGTTTTGCAGAGCCTTTAAAAAAATTTGATGGTATATTGTGATGTGATTTTTTTAAATTACGAAAACGACTACGGACAACAGCAACGGGAGAAAGAGAATTTAACGATGATGTAGAAGATAAAATATTATTATTATTATTAGTATCGTCACGCTTTACACGAAGCGCACCGTTATTTTCAGTTAACAATTGTTGTTGTTCTTCGGGATCATGTTTTATTACGGCAGCATCATCAGCAAAGATCTAAAGAGAACGAGATTATATAGAATAATGCAAATAATAACAGAATTCGAAATAATGAATGACTTAGAATAAATGATTCACTTCATATTTTTTTACATAACTTTCTTATTTTTAATCGTGTAGACTTGAATGTTTTTCTAAAGATTCGGCATTTTATTCTCCACGAAAAGCATATTGAACATTTTATTCTGTATACTGTAATAATAAAAAATATGAAGGAAATACTTCGAAGCTTCAATTGTGATAATATTCTATTATAAAACACGACGAAAAAATTATTTCGAACACAGTGCCATACATCAAAGTCGAATGATAATGTATGTTCTAATGTTTCAAAATGTCTTCTTTCTTTTTGTGTATTACAAATTAGTCTTCAATATATTTTCTAGCACAAACTAATTTTTATTAATAATTCATCAGAAAAAGGGCAAATTTAACTTTTTCGTCTTGACAAAGGAGAAAAAACAATATTACTGAGCTTTCTCTGTTTGGTTGGAACAGGAGAATTATTGTGCTTCAAGATAAAACAAACTCAATCTCAAAATATTTAATTTTGGATGAAGTATAAAAAATTTACAACTGTCTCAATTTCAAAAAGGATGATTTTTGACAACATCGATAAAAAAAGAAAAACTCTACTCTTTTTTTAGTTCCCAAAATATAAAGAGCTAAAATTGAAAACCTTCGAAATTGTCAAGGTTAAAGGAAGCTTCGAAGTATTTCCTTTATATTTTTTATTAATACAGTATACAGAAAAAAATGTTCAATATGCTTTTCGTAGAGAATACAATGACGAATCTTTAGAAAAACGTTTAAGTTTACACGATCAAAAAGTAAGAAAGTTATGCAAAAAATATGAAGAAAATCATTTATTCTGTGTCACCCGTTAGATGTCAACTCAGACTCCAATATAGTGGTGACCAATCAGTATAGAGTAGAAGGGCAAAGCAATGTAGAGATTTTGTTTATAGTTGAATTTTAGAATATTTTTTCTAGGCTTCCGTTCTTTAATGATCGACCGATACATTCCAAATCATTTTTCTTAACAAGTAATGCGTTTCGTAGTTAATATTTTTAATAAATGATTGATGACAATGGAAGTTAGTATTATGACAAATTTCCGGTTGACATTGTCAGTAAAAATTAAAAACAGTTCTCTCTATTTACTTACCGGTTGACCATCAATCGTTTGTAAAATCAACGTAAATACAATAAACAGTATACTGACAACAATCATTTTTCTTGAAATCATTATTGACATCTTAATTTTTTTGAAAAAAAACAACAACCAGAATTCTTGCGTTGTGTTAATGAATATTATATTTTCTATATTAATGAGACCAAACGTCTTTCTGCTATAGTTTTTGTTTCTTTAAACGTATAATAAACAGAGAAAGAAGAAGAATTGATAGCTAGAAAAATAGAAAGAATAAAGAGAGAAAAAATTTCGTGTCTAAAATAAAAGCAGCACTGCGAGCATCGTCGTCATCATCCGGTTGTTTTTCTTTTTTTAGACATAATACTCATAAAAGCGGAAATGTTTTCTTTTCATAGAAATCCCCTCCTTCTAGCTCATCTATTTCCTTGCATAATGTTTCAATTAATTATAACACAGAGCACAAATTTTCGTGTTTAACCCCACTGTGAGCTGTAAAATTTTAATTATAAAATTCGAGCTTCTACGATCAAATCAATGACAAAAGAGACTGAAAGACAATCTAAAAAAATTTAAAAATAAGATATATCATCTACAACAAAACAAGAATCAAATGTCAGAGAATTTGTTTTTTGTATTAACTAACTAATTTTAGTCAAACTCTATCCTAGTGAACTCTCAAGAGACTTGAACTAATTACGTTGACACTTCTGATATATGAAACTCGAAATTAAACAAATATATTCAGTGTATTCATTTTGGTTCTATTTAAAACAGTAGATAGTGAGCGAACAGGAACAATAGCAAACTTTAATTGCACTGACATCATTATATTTTTGAGTGCAGATAAATAATAGTTCACACCGTGTTCTCTGTTGTCTTAGCCAAAAAAATTCAATAAAATCTACTATAATTATTTAAGTTAAGAAGCTGGCAACGATGCAAACTATCTATCACGATTTTACTAAATCATTTTCACTTTTGTACTCGATGTGTCGAAAGTATAATTTGTCTGATCTACAGTCCATATACCAAAGAGAAATAGTTTCTTGTTGCAACTGACAGATAGTGTACTTTTCATGTGAGAAATAATTCTTTTTTCGTAGTTCTTTTATATCAAAAACATCTAAAGAATAGAACAATCTCCCTTCACCCTTGGCACTTCAGAATAGTCACAAAGTTTTTAAGGAAATGCTTCGACGGGAATTGGATTTGACTTAAACAACTCTATTTGTATTTATTTTATATTCTCTTTGTTCATTGGGGAATGCTCTCTTATTTTGTTTGTTTTTAGTTATACAGGTATCACTAAGGGTTCTGTTTATCAGATGTTATAAGTTACTAAACGTTTACTTTCTTTTGTGATGTCCTTGCTTATGCAAAATAAATTTGAATTTTTAGAATGTCAAGTACATCACCTAAGCTCTTTTCTTCTATTTTCATAATCATATGACCAAAGTCCTCTTTGGAAAACTTATTTTTCTCGTAGATTAACCAAAATTTTGTGAATGTTGATTTCTGTGCCAGCATGACGATAATTATCGTCTCGTGACTTAATTTTGCTTTATTCAACAGATCATAGGAATCTAATATATAGGAAAGTAGTTGTCATTAGTTTTGCATATTATCGGGATGTGTGAGAAAAAATTTTCTATTTTCTATAAAAGTCAGTGAGATGTTTCGAATTGCACAGTCATCAAAACACTTTTTAACCAACAGAGACGAAAATTGTCTCTTTTGGTTTTTGAAATATATCTCTCATTATTATCATATTTAGTTCTAAACATGCCTTATCAAATTGTTTATTCCGTATGAATAAAATCGTGACTAATAATATTTTAATCTTAATTACAGCTTATATCACTTTATTGAGAGTAGTTTAGACATAACTGAACAATAATTCGCCTCGCTTCGACTACTCATGTACATAAAAAAAGATCGGATGTTTTACGGAACTCTATTTGCTATTCTACTATTTTCCATGCTTTTAATTCCTACATTTAGCAGACATCAGAATTTCTAAATACTAATTTATTTTTACACAAAAAATAATCAAATGACGTCAATTTTTTGTTCACTTGGCTTCAGAGAAAAGTATTATTTACTCTAATTTTAAATATGTTTCTTTTTCAATTTTAAAATAAAATATATTCAGAATGTTTTCCTTTTTGAATAGTTAACAAAAGTTCTTGTAAGAATTTTACTTTAATGAAGTTGAATACAATATCTTTTAATACATTCTATATCTTCCACTGTATACTTGGAAGTGAGTCATTTTCGTTTCGGAAGTAAAATTTCTTAATAATGAACTACTAAGCTTTAATTTATTAGTATAATTTTTTGTTGTTGAAACGAATATAGTTTATACCACATATAATCGTTGATTTTTATTTACAATTTTAGAGCAATTAATGGTCCGGAATAATCTCCTTTATTAAACCTCTCTTTTTATTTATTCTTAAAACTATCAATCTAAAAAAAGACTAATGTGAAATAATTTATAAGAGTTTACTTCTATTATTGTATTACATCTACCTAAATTCGTCTACTAAGACAGAGGCATTACACTGAAAACTTACTGATGAGAAAACTAAACCAGATTAGACCGGATACTATCGAAAAAAGCCCACGATTTCCACCCCAAAATCTCTCTCTCTCTCTCTCTCTCTCTCTCTCTCTCTCTCTCTCTCTCTCTCTCTCTTTCTCGCTCTCTTTATCTTTCTCTTTATCATCAGCATTTAAGTAACAGAGAGTTTCCTATATTATAGTTTCTTTTTCTTTTTTTGTTCTTTTTCTCGATCATAACTATTGTGAAAGAAATTCAACAGTAAAAAAACCAAGAACATGTTTCGTGTTTTAAGTAGAGTAATATATATATCCGAATATAATTTTCTAACTCAATTTTTGGGCTTCTACAAAAACAAAAAAAAAAAAAGAAAAGAAAAACAAATTATTAACTAAAGCTTGTTTGTCAGGATGTGTGCATGTATAATTAAAGACAACTTTAAAATAAAATTTCTAAAAATTAAGGTAATTATATCTCGAACAAATTCAATTTAATCCTTATCGTTGTGATTTTGACATATTGTGAAAATATAAGTCAACATAAGACTGTATGAATTTCATTTTTTTACTTGAGTCATTTTCAATAGGTGCAAATGATGAAAAAAGAAAAAATAGTCATTGTTCTACTTCTTAAACAATTTCTATATTTAGATGCCGTTTCGTGACGACTATTTACTAAATTTCATTAAAAAGATATATTTGAGCAGTCAAACTGTCAGCAGACAAAACAATAGACTGATTTTCTCGAGAGAACGTTGTTGGTTCTTATCTTATGATTCACGATAATAGAATACAAATTCGAGAGAAAAAATCTCTGTTTAAACTAGTTAACAATATAATAAATTCAATAAGTAATTATGATAGATGATATTCATTAGATTATATATTGATTTTCAATTTTTATGAGTGATGTTTCTATTTTTCTTTTAACCAATATATTTGTTTCATTTTTTTTTTAGAAAAACTGGCAATTGTGTTTCCATATAAATTTTGACTTATCCCTAGGGTTAATATTCTCGCTTTTTTCAAACAATCAAGATCAAAAAATAAAGAAAAATGTAGTGATTGCGTGCAAAAGGCGCATTTAAACGGTATATGAACGACGCCAATATACCTTTTCTCTACTTTTCGGATTTTAAAAAAAATGTGTGAAAAAACCAATTTAAATTGATTTTGTTTGTATTTTGTTCTTCTAAGACAAACAATAACTAATTAAGATAATTAATTTCATCGGGTATGAAAATCTCATAGGTTAACATCAATCATATCAAGTAAAAGATGTCTTCTCATATTGTCATATTCTTTATATGAATGTATGAGAATCAAAACGATTTGTTCAATAATATGAATGATCGAAGAAACATATTTTTTCGTTATATTAGAAGAAGAAACTTGATTTAAAATATTATTTACGCTACAAAAAATAACTATAGTATTTTTACTATTTAATAATTTATTTATTGCGTGAATAATATTACATGTTTTGTAGAAAGGTCAAAATTTTAAGAATAAAATTTTTTTCTAGTAACAAATAGTAAACTCATTTTATAATTACGGGTATAATATCAAAAATGTTATTGTCTATAAGATACTCTTTTATTTGAAATATAAAAATGAGACGATTATTAATTAGATATTTATATTCATAAATAATAGGAAATAGAATATTATTGTTGTGTTTTCGCATGTTTACTAATAAAAGACAATTAACCTTTGTCACGCTAAACCGATCTTCAAAAAGCTTAAAAAACTAATGATTACGAATTAAATAGAACGTTTTATTAAGTAAAATAGAAGGAAAGTAATAAATTAATTTTTTACAGTAGAATGTCGAATAAGATACTTTTTTTTATAATATATTTTGAGTAAACAAAATTTTGTTTCATAATATTCTACTAGATCAATTAGAGTCAAATAAAGTCACTAAATGCCAAACGAAGTAAACGATAGTTAGTTGAATTTGGCTTTAGGTAAGTGAAAGACAATGAAATACTTAATAGTGAAGCCATCTGTCAGAGGAATGGAATCAAATTGAAATAGTAAACATCATTTATGATAGAGATATATTTGTACAAATGATTAAAGAGTAGATGTACGTTACTATAAATACGATCAAAACTTGTATAACAAGCCACACGATAGATATTGGTTGAATCATATTATATATAATAGAGTAATAATGGTTTCGATTAAGAATTACCTCAGTAGGGACCGAAAAAACTCAGAAGTCGGCATCTTGGAAAATACTATTTTTGAACGTGCGTAGCTCGATCACAATACTTAATATAAATTAGAAAATTTTATCATAACTACTGCATACTGTGTATTATAAAATGATGTAATTTCAAGTTCTAGAACTACTTCTGTCCATATACATCAGTTAGTTCACTGAGAGCCCAGATCCAAATTTGCTCACCTTTGAAAATTTGTCAAATTGCGACGACAGAAAACTTGAGAAATCTCACAAATTTAAGTTCAATTTGGTAATTCATCAATTAATTCTTGTTCTACATTAAAGCCATATTTGTGAGCTAGTTTTAGGTCTAAAAGGAATCATGGATGTATCAGAAATAATATGATCAAGAAAATCAACCGTCAGTTATTTAGAACTCAAATTAGATGTGCCAGTTTCAATTTAGAATAAACTATTTTGTTTTCTTATAGATACAAATATAGCTGCAGGAATAAATGATGAAATTGCTCATTTTATAAAGTGTATACTTCCAAATATACACAATCAGATTTAAAAACCTTTTGTACTTATATCAACTACATTATAAGAAAGATTTACAAATAAAAATCAAGTAACAGTATCTTCTTTAAACTCAGAGCATTTTTACTAAAATTATTTCCATATGGGAAGAAAATTATACCACAAAAGATATAATACAGTAGTTGAAAGCTATATTATTGAAACAGATCGTTTATAGTTGGCTTCCAGATTCTTCTCTCCTGTGGGAACAAGTTAATTCACTTTAAATTCTTTCTTCTACCAAATTCAATCATAGCGCCACTTAACTTGAATTAAAAACTCAATTGTTTTTCATCGTTAGCAGCACACTGTAACTGAAAACAAATAAAAAAATTCATATTTTAAACGGTGTATTGTGTAATATTTTTAAGACATTGAGTGTGTATCGTTCATTGACCACAAAAAAACAAATACATAATCTAAAGTCAAATATTAGAAACAAAAGTGACTTTTTCCACTCATAAACACCTTTCCAGATATCTAAATGCTTATTTTTGATAACATCCGATCGAATAATTTTCTCCAGTGAACAAGGCGCTCATTTTACCTGTCGTGGCATCTGGTCCAATATCATTGCTAAACTCAACGTAGTCACCAATTGACGAATCAAGAAGATTGACAGACATCAATAAATCATTCGATATTGTAGTTTTATTTCATATTTTTAACAATAATCGACTAAGCCATATCCACAACTACAACTGGCACGAGTAAATCTAAATTGTAGAGAATTACTAAACACATGATAAAAAAGCATTATTTCACGTATATCAAGCGACAATATTTTACACGTTCAGTCTGAAAACGATTGTTGTCGAAATTGTTGTTCTTTATGCAACTATAGAAAATAAATGACAATTAAGGGCCCCCCCCAGT